ACAAAATTGGAAAAGAGAAAATACTTTTTATGTTTCTAGAAACACAAACATAAATTTTTTTATTGAGTTGATTTTTGGAAGACAAATTCTATTGTGATCTTTAGGTCAATGATCATTATATGGACTTAATACATTAAATGGTTATATGTGTTGGGTCTTGTAAACAAAATGTATAACTATAAATCCATACAAAATATTTGAGAATGTCTATATTTCACATATGGATATTAAGACCACAATAATAGGGTTTTATATGCTAATACTTGCTAAATTAGAGGTCACGAGATTGAATATCATCAACAATTTAACAAAAAATCACGTAAAACTTGGAGCAAAATTTGTTCCCGCATATATGTGAGGGGATGCATTGGAGGATAAAAAATTTATTGACCATGAACGAGAAGTTTATAAGTACAAATTTGTAGTTGCTTGTATGTTTGGAAAAAAGTTTCATGTCACTCACAACGCACGTCAACATTATTTTAAAAAAGTTTCTGATCGTGAATTTCAAACTCGTAAGGCTTTGATATCATATTAAAATATCAACGTAATCGAAAATTCAAACTTATGGTCATTAAGATTTGATTGTATATGGAGCATTTTATTTTAATTATAAGAACCTAATAAACGTGCATGTCGTACCCTATGAAGACATTTTATTGGTTTCTTTTTCCAAAATTTAAAACTAAATTAGTCTTTTTCCACCAAGGAATTTAACAAAGGGCATTCATGCAATGTATATGTTGAGGAAAAGAGTGAAGGGCTCGGAGACAATGGAATCAATTCAAATAACCAAAAAGTCCAACATGCTATAAGGATACCTCTTTCTGAACTTGTCTACTTGTCCTCTCACAATGGTCTTACTTAACTTATAATGGAGCAATAAATACTACCCTTCTTCCATAAAATTTCCCATTTTGAAAAACAAGAGAGGATATAAATATTTGAATGTGTAGTTTTAGTTTAATGTCTAATTGTGCATTTACTTTATACTCCCTTCGTCCCTAAAAGAGTTACCTGTTAACCATTATTACGGTCTACCTCTCGATAACTCTTATTTATTTGCATGTTTTTATTGATTGATAAAATAAAATATTATTGTCATCACTGGTTTTGTATAGTTTTTTATGTCGTTTTTAAATATAAAATTTTTATTTTTTATTTCTTTACGAATTTGTAAATAAAATAATTTAAAAGTCACGTAGTTTTGCACCTTCATCAAAGAAAGAAATTCGTTAATGACCGAGGGAGCATTAGATAGGATATAATGTGATAACAAGATGAATTTTAAATAAATATGATGTGATATGTAGCTCAATAATTAGTATTGTAAAAAAGATATTTTAATTAAAAAATTGATATGTAGGCCACACTTTAACAATAATTAGATTTTGTAGTATTCAAAATCTTAAAAAAAAAACTCACCCATCACTCGTATAAGTTACGTCGTTTAACAATGGGTCATTTTCACTATTTTTTACGGTCAAAATCTTGATTTAAGTTTTATTAACGAAATACGATAAGAGAGAGTAACACTAAGAATAGATTCTCCCACCCAAAAAAATTTACGCCTTCCAAAAAAATTGTGTCCCACAATCTCCTACCCATTTCTATTAAAAAACCACTTTTACCCCTTACTTTTTCAAACCCTACCTATCACATCATACCTTTTTCCTAATAATCTACACATCATATCCTACTTTTACCCATCACATCAAGGGTATTTTTGGAAAGTCAACACAAAATTATCCCTCCCTTAATTTCTACTTTAGTCAAAATGGGTAACACTTTATGGGACGGAGGGAGTACTTCCAAAGCATACGAAATTCAAATAATTGGCGAAGAAGTCAATAACAAAGTTTCAATGGCGTATGAGCAAAGGGCCCATTGGCTCTTAAATTAGTATGAAACTAGTAAGCTTATCTTCCATTTCTTCTTTGTAATTTCAACCCATTGAGACTTTTTGTACTCATGGGCATTTGGCGTTATCAGTACACACTATACCTAGCTTAGTATTGTTAATTAACCACTGTATTAGTGCGATTTCTCGATAACTTTTATTTTTTTATATTTTTATTAATCATTTGATAAAATAAAATATTATTATATCTCTAATTTTATAGAATTTTTTATGGACTTTTAAATGGTGTAACTTATAATTTTTATTTTTAACTATTTTGTAATTAAAATAATCTAAAAAATAATGAGATTTTGCACGTTGGTTTGAGTATGATATCCAAAATGAGGCTGTATGTAGAATAAATTCTTGTCTACCTTATTTGGCTTGGGCTCGTCATTTGATGCATAGTTCCCCCATTTGGGAACCGATGAAGTATTTATACGAGTACTTTGTACTCCGTATTACACTACTTTCCCCAACTATTTGTTAAATTCAATTTTTTATTATTAAATTAATTAAATTTTGAACATCAATTAAATAATAATTACATAACATGCTAGTTATTAAAAAATGATTCACAAATATATATTTTAAAAAAATTCAAAAAAAATAGTTTTATTTTATTAATATACAATGTTTTAAATTCAAAGACAAGAAGTTTTTATTTAATGTATGATCAAAATATTTCTAACTTGATTGCAAAAAGTTAAACTCGATAACCCCATTGGGACACATGAAGGAGGGACTATAATTCAATTTTTGTTTTTGTTATATATAAAATATAAAATTTAACTTAAATTCAACTTAATTTCCAAATAAATTAAATATAAAATAATTTCGGTCAAATATCATAAACCAAACCAACTTTTCTTTATGGTACAAAGGAAGTACTTTTGTTTACGGCGGGGGTAGTTTACTATTTTCGTCTCTCTGAGATATTCAAGTTCAATACATAAAGTTTTTGGTGAAGTTTTACCAATTAAGTTTACATAACAATATAAAAAATTAAATATAATAAAATTCTTTTTGTACCAATATCTAATATTAATTTTATTTAATTAATGATCAATAGTTGTCAATTTTAACTACAAAAAAAAATAAAATGGGATAAATATTCTAAAATGATGGCATTTGAAATGTGAGAATTCCATAATCCTATATGAGTTAAAGGAGGACTGAATTTGAATAAGGCCATTTCTTAATTATCACATGTTTGTTCATTATGATAGGCAACAACACAATTGAGGACATTTTGCATGCCTTTCAAGCAAAGAGTTGAAAAGTTGATTGTGCCCCTATCACTTTTGCCTCCATATTTCCACACTGATGATTTTCCTCCTTAGCCCCCATAAAATAAGTTGTAACAAATAGAAAAAAAAAGAAAGTAACCCTTGCAGTAAACTCTAAACTCTTATTGCAAAGTTGCAAGTTATAAGGGTATTTTTGGAACCCACTACAGTCATTATTGTGCTCCATTATTGCTCCTATCAATTTCTTTCATTTTTATGTTTTTGGAAGGCACACTTTCCATGGAAGAAAATGTTTTGAAAGTTTTTTTTAATGGAAGTTGATGGGCATTACATGTTACATAAACACTTATTTAAAAAAATTATGATCCTTAATTACTCTATATGTGTAATTAGAGAAAAGACATGTACATCTATTAGTTAGATTATGTACTTTGGAGTCATTGAGCTTTGTAACAAAAACTATCACATCTTCCCATAACATCGTATTATTCAGGAAAAAATAAAGAGGAAAGAGTTGAAAAAAGGAAAGACGGGAAATGAGACGGATTTTTAATTTCAATAGATAAGTTATGGAAAAATGAAAATGAGAAAGAAAAGAAAGTAGAATAAAATGACAATTTTATCCTTATATTATAAATATGGTCGCTTATATTTATACTCCGTAACACTTTCTTATAGAAAAATTTGAATATTACAGAATATTAGACAATAATAAAAATAATTACTATTCTTATAAACTTAGCAGTATTGTTTGAAATCATGGTGGGATTCTAGAGCCACTCAATTTAAGTGGTTTCGAAAGACATGACTCAATTGGGACTCTTACCATGCTTTCTTTGTAAAATTGGTAAACCCTCCCACCCAGTTCCAGCCTGAACCCATCCCCACCTTAGTCAATTACACCCTACAAGTTTGGTTGACTCTGGGGTTAATTAAAAAATTTAGATCTAAAGTCAACTAAATTTGTGAGGTGCAATTGGCATGGTGTGAGGATGGATTTAGGTTGGGACTAAGTGAGAACTTATCCAGAAAATTACTCGCGGGTGACGCGAGTTTTGTGGAAATAACTTTCAGGTCCTTCTATTTTCAAAAAGACAACCAAGATCCTTATATTTTGTTGTAATGACTGAGAGGGGACATTTCATCCAATACATCATCCGTAAGTGTTAATAAATGAATTTTTTTCCTATTTTTCCAATACTTTTTTTTCCTATTTTGCCATTACCTTGTTTTTTCTTTTTTTAATTTTTTTTATTTCATTTGTTTTAATATAATACAAACAATTTTGAATTTTTATACGATTTTATAGAAGAAATTCTAAAATAACACTTTAAAAAATAGTAACAAAATGAAAGAAAAACAAAGAAATAAAAAAAAGAGCGACCTAAGATTTATTACCTTAAAAAATTTAGAAAAGAATAGGAAAAAGATACATTTATTAACGTTTATAGATGAAATATTGGATGAAATGTCCCCTTCCAGCCATTACAACAAAATGTAAGGACCTCTGCTGTCTTTTTGAAAATAGAGGGATCTGAGAGTTATTTCAACAAAACTTGCGTCACCCGTGAGTAATTTTCTACACTATGTTTGGCTCAAGAATTTTGGAATGAAAAGAAAAGAAAATGGTTTCCTCTTATTTTCCTCACCAAAATGGAAGGAATTTGATTTTCTCTATACTTGGTACATTTTGCCTCATCATTTACTTTTCCTTCCACTTTTCCTTTCTTTTCTCCTCTAACCAAACAAGAAAAATGGTTTTCCACTTCATTTCATTTCTTTTTCCTTTGAAATTCCTTGAACCAAATATACCCTTAGTGTCTCGTGTTATAATGGTAGTACATTGTATCCTTTGTCTTGAAGGTATTATCTTTTGATTCTTTTCATGTGGTCGAACTGGACTCTTTTTCTCAGAGCTTCGTTGTTTAACGAAACATAGTGTTGTTTGGCGGTAATCTCAACGTCCCTGCAATGATGCAAAATTTGACATGATCAGATCCGTATGAAATCATGAACTCGCCATGTCTGGTTCAGGGCAAGGTTCCACACTAACCAAAATCCAAGTGAAGACGCGTTTCTTGATGCCGCCGGCTCCCCTCTGCCTTTATTCCAGGCGGCTCAGGTTCGATTATATCACTTCGTATTGCCTTTCTGTTCATGTGTGCTTGTAAACAGAAACCGCACCAGTTTTTCTTATTGTCATCAATCTCTTTGAACACCAGGTGTTCGATAGAATGCCAAGGCGATCACTTTAGAAAGCTGCCAAGGTACATATGCATGTTTCATTGTTTTACTCCTTCGAGATTTCTCCTTGTCTTTCCAATAGCTTCAATTTCAGTTTAGTTCATGCCCATGAGTGTAGAAGCAGTTTTTTTTTTTTCTGAGCACAACTTGGCCAAACAAAATTGAAATGAAAATTTCATTGAAGTGCTTATGGAATTGTGAATGTGATAAGTAGATGCTCCGTGATATTTAGTTCCAAAGAAAAGGGATATGAATATTAAAGAAGTGCTCTTATTATGTGTTGAAATTGATCTTTGGAAGAAACAAGCCAAAGTCGTATAAGAAAACAATATACCGAATGAACTTGGGAAACGAATCAACGTAAAAATTACATGATTTGTTGCAATGTACATTATATGGGGAAGACTTGGCAAGTTTTAGTTGTAGAAATTTTGGTTATGGGTGCTTGCGAGAATCTTATCTCCGAATTATACCAAACAGTATGAACATTTGTAAACACTGAAAGACTAGATATTGAAAATGATAGTAGATTATTAGAAATATTATGTGTACGAAAATCATGAAAATATGAGGGCTATCATTAGAATATTACTCTGTCAAATATTCTTCCAATGAAAACAATAGACGAAAATCCAATTTTTTATTCCCACACTATTTTACTACCACTACTATTTTTCTCATTCTCTCACACTCTTCCCGTCTCACTCTTCATTCATTATTTCTATCCCCTAGACCCTAACTAACCAACCAAGGCATTAGAGTGTGCAAGGAGGAAGTGGGGATCCACACAAGCCAGGGTTCCCCAGAAAGGCCTCCTTGGGTATGTTTGCTTTGTGAGCAGGGATTTCCCCACTCAGTCTGTTCCTAGAAACATCAAACTCTTTTAGAGATTCAAGATTCATCACCTCCTCTGGTATTGTACCGTTGAACTTGTTGCCTGAAAGCACTATTGTCTCCAGAATTGTAGCGTTCCCAAGAGCTTTTGGAATTCTTCCTTCTATCTGATTGTTTGATAATCTCAGGGACTGTAATGCATTCAGAGCACAATAAAGTCCATCTACAATCTCTCCCAATCCTCCAGAAAATTGGTTATCTGAGAGATCTATTGAGTAGTATACTCCAAATATCGTGCCGCATGATTTGTTGAATATGTTGTTCGTATCTCCAGAAAGGTTGTTTGAATGGAGATCAAGATCCATCAGCCTTGAAAGATATTTAAATTCATCTGGAATTTTTTAGTTAAACCCATTGTTTGATAGATTCAGCAAGTTTAACTCTGTCATGTTACCAATCCAAGAAGGGATTTTTCCAGTCATTCCATTGTTCGATAAATCTAGCCTTGTAAGTGATGAAGAAGCCAGCCAGTTGGGAAGCTCCCCTTTGATCCCAGTTCCCGCTAAAAAAAGAGACCCAACTTTCATTGAAGAAATCCACTCCGGAATGGCCTGGAGATTGAGAGATGGGTTGAATGAGAGATCCAAATATACTAATGATGGCATGCTTCCCAACTTGGGAGGGATCTTGCCACTGAGTTGGTTTCTTGACAGTTCCATATTCGTGAGGTTGCGAAGATTTGCAAAAGTCTCTGGGATCTCTCCGGTAAAGTGATTATTGGAGAGGGCTAGAGAAATGAGACTGGATAGGCGGCCAATAGATTCCGGGAGATTCCCTGTGAGATTGTTGGTGCCAAGAGACAGAGTTGTCAGCTTTTTAAGGTGTCCAATGGCCAGTGGGATCGTCCCCGTCAGCGTATTGTTTTCAAAATCAAGCTGCTCCAGTGAGGTCAAGTTTGTAATTGATGGAGGAATGGGACCACTCAGGCTGTTCGAGTACAGCCATAGCACCCTTAACTCCTGAAGATTCCCTATATAGCTTGGAATTCTTCCACTGAACCTGTTCCCTCCCAATGCAAGAAGCCTGAGCTTCTCGAGCCTCCCGATGGAATCCGGGATGGAACCCGGGATGGAACCCGACAAGTTCTGGCGATCGCGAAGGTCCATTTCCGAGACCCGGCCTGTTTGGTTGTCGCATGTGATGCCCTCCCATTGGATGCAGCAGTCTGTGGAAGGAGTCCAATTCTGGACCATCTTTTGGGGATCCTCTGTGATGCTGTTCTTCAAGTCCAGTAGGGCCTCTTGGTCTACTGGATGGCATGCTTCTACTTCTAATAATAATGGAGTACTGAAAGAAAGGTAGATGATGATGATGGTGGCCATCATGATGAAGGGCACTTCCTTCTTCCGGCAGACCACTTTTCTCCTAAAGCCTCGCATGGCATCCTCATTCCTCCATGGTTTGAGAGTCATGGACGGGGCAACCCAATTTTATTTTTTTTAATAATGATATATGAAAATATGGAAAAAGATAAAAGTAGGAGTAAAACAATGAAAATATACCAAAATAGGACTTTCATGTTTTTACTCCTGAAATAAGAGTTAAAATGCATTTACATTACCAAACATGGTCATGTACGTTACCAAAAATTATAGTAATGTGCACATGTCCAGTGTCACATTACCACCACATTACCACAGTAGAAACTCCTATTTCGAGAATAAAAACATGAAACTCCTATTTTGATACTTTTTTTTATGTTTTAGTCCTATATAAGGTGATTTCTTATGAAAATAACCCTAATTAATTTTTTTAAAGTCATTATTGGAAGAAGTTGGAAAAAATTGAAAGAGTTGGAAGAAACTGGAAGGAATTAAAAAAACTGGAGGGAGTTGAAATAAACATGAAGGAGTTGGAAAAAATTGAAAGATTTGAAAGAAACTGGAATGAGTTATAAAAACTAAAAGGAGTTGAAAGAAACATAAAGGAGTTAGAATAAACCAGGAGTTTGAAGAACTTGAAAGAGCTGAAAAATGTAAGAAGTTAAGAGTTAACACTCAAAAGAAGAGAGATTAGGTTTTGCATGTAGAGGAAGCTTTGGACCAAGAGAGGCGAAAGCAATGACTATGAACGAGTAAGAGGTTTGAACCATTAAGTGAACCAGTAAGAGGTCTGAACCATTAAGAGCTAGTATATTGCTTAACTATTCAGAGGTAAATGTCTGATCAATTCAGATAAGAGGTCTTAACCATTCAGACTCTGTATAATACTTAACCATTCAGAGGCAAATATCTAATCCATTCAGACATCTGAACCATTAAGAGACTGAAACAAACAGTCTGAACCATTAAGTGCTGAACCATTTAGACATCTGAACCATTAAGAGGCTGAAACAAACAGCTCCTTAAGTTGACACTATTAGGATTATTCTTCAAGATTGGTCTTATTTTAATTCTATTGTTGATGATTGTAATGATTGATTGTGGCAAATTAATACTCCTTGCGTCCCCAATATGTAAAACCTCTTGTCTTTTGAAATTATTTTATTTACAAATTGATACATCAATAAGAAATAAAAATTACATATTAAAAACCCCGTTAAAAGTTTTACTCCCTCCGTCCCCCTGTATTTGTCCACATTTGACTTTTAGAACTGTTCATCTAAGCACTTTGACTCATCAAATTCTCTCAATGTGTAAGCCTAAATATAGTCATGTGTGATCTTGTTTGATTTGTCTTAACATATAGATTATTAATATATAATTTTTATAATTTTTAATATACAAATTACAAGATAAAATGGATTTAAAAAGTGCATTGGATGGTGTGTAAAAATGAAGGTGGACAAATACAGGAGGACGGAGGAAGTACAAAATAAGATGTGACAAGAATATTTTATTTTATCAAATAATCAATAAAAACACACAAATAAACAAAAGTTACCTAGAAGAGAGAGAAAAAAAGATTGTAATCTAATTGAGGATAGATGGAGTATTTGATTTATACAGAAATACACGTCACAGCGGGACACAATGAGATACTTTCTTATTCATCCCGATCTCTTTTCATTTTAAATTGGTTCGGAACAAATTGTTGTTGTCCTAACCCGAATGATACATTTTAATGATGGGAGCGTGAGCTAGGAAGGATCAGGAACTATTAATTTTACCAACGAAATAATGTCCTCTTCCTCATTAAAATGGAAGCTTCTTAATTTAACCAACCCAACCCAACCCAAACATATGTTTCTTTTGGTAGTAATTCCGAAAAGCTCAATACTTCAATTCCAACATCTCTGCGAAAGTGAGGTTGCAAATTTTGACTTGCCCAGGGTCTGCTCAACGCCGTTCCCATTGCATCCAGCTCCAAGCCGCATGAAATCATGAGCTCCCTATGTCTGGCTCATGGGAAGATTACATACTCCCCTCTCACAATGTTCCATTACAAAGAAACTACTTTGCCCACCAGGTGTTTGATATAATGCTAAGGCGAGCACTTTAGAAACTCGAAGCCGTGAAGGACTGAAGGAGCATATATGTTTCATTGTTTTACTCCTTTGAGATTTTTCATTGTCTTTCCAATAGTTGCAATGATCATGAGGGGTTAGATTTGGGCTCGTTACTTTTGGATTCAGATTAGTTCAATTTCAGTTTAGTCCATGCCCATAAAGAAGCAGCTTTGCTGAGCACAACTTGGCCAAACAATATAATAACAAACTTTCCGAGATACTCTTATAGTACGTACTACGTATGTATTAAAATTGATCTTTGGAATATACAAGCCAAAGTCATAAGAAAAAAATAAACCAAATAAACCAGGGAAAAGAATAAACTTATAAATTACATAACCTGTTGCAATGTCATTGTATGGGGAAGCCTTTGGAGGGTTTTAATTGTAGACATTTTGGTTATGGGTTCTTGTAAAAATCTTATCTCCAAATTATACCATACAGTTTGAACATTTGTAAGGATTGGAAGACTAGACATTGAAAATCATAGTAGATTATTAGAAAAACTATGTGAGAGCTATTATTTTTATAACAACAACAACAACCCACTTGAATCCCACAAGAGGTCTAGGGAGGGTGTGTTTATGAAAATCAAACAAATGTGAGAGATATTATTAAAATATTACTTTAAAATGTTCTTCCAATGGAAACAATACACGAAAATCCAATTCTTTTCTCCTATAATATTTTATTGCTAATTTGCTACTACTGCCACTACTACTTTTCTCATTATCTCACACTCTTCCCTTCTAACTCTTTCCTCATTATTTCTATCCCATAGGCCCTAACTAACAAACAAAGCCATTAGAGTTTGCAAGGAGGAAGAGGAGACCCACACAAGCCAGGGTTCCCCAAAAACGCTTCCTTGGAAATATTTGCTTTGTGGGCAGGGATTTCCCCACTCAATCTATTTCTAGAAACATCAAACACTTCTAGAGATTCAATATTTATCACCTCCTCTGGTATTGTACCGCTGAACTTGTTGCCTGAAAGCATTATCGTCCTCAACCATTTAAAATTCCCAAGAGATTTTGGAATCCTCCCTCCTAACTGATTGTTTGATAGGTCGAGGTAGGATAAGTCGGTCATGTTACCAATGGAAGAATGGATCTCTCCATTGATTCCATTGAATGAGAGGGTAAGAGCTTGTAATTTTTTCAGGTTTCCCAGTTGGCTAGGGATTTTGCCTCCGAGTTGGTTTCTTGACAGATCCAAACTTATGAGTCCTTGAAGATCTCCGAAACTCTCTGGGATTTCTCCCGTGAAGTGATTATTGCTGAGGTTTAGAGCGAAGAGGTTTGGGTGATGGCCAATAGATTCCGGCAGATTCCCTGTCAGATTGTTGTTGCTAAGATTCAGTTGTGTTAGCCTCTCTGTGGAGTTTCCAATGGGCGTTGGGATCGTCCCCGTGAGCGCATTCCACGACAAATCAAGGACCCCCAGTGAGCTCAAGTTTGATATTGATGGAGGAATAGGGCCAGTCAATCTGTTCCCATTCAGCCTTAACCAGATTAGTTCTTGAAGATTCCCAATAGAGCTTGGGATTCTTCCGCTGAATCGGTTCCCCTGCAAGTCAAGATACTGGAGCTTCGTGAGCCTGCAAATGGAATCCGGGATGGGACCCGACAGGTTCTTGAGCCCTGTGAGGTCGAGCTGAACGAGGGAAGACAGGTTTCCTATCGATGGCGGGATGGTCCCGGACATAGGCTTGTCCAGGTACAGACCTATGAGCGTCACTGCTTTGACCCGCGCCATTTGCTGTAAGTCGCAGCTGACTCCCTCCCACGAGTCGCAGCACTCTGTGGAGGGTGTCCATGTCCGGAGCATCTGGTTGGGATCCTCTGTGATGCTCTTCTTCAAGTCCAGTAGGGCCTCTAGGTCTACTGGATGGCATGCTTCTACTTCTAATAATAATAGAGTGCTGAAAGAAAGGTATATGATGGTGGCCATCATGATGAAGGGCACTTCCTTCTTCTGGCTGAGAATTCCCATTTTGGTCAAAAGAAGAAAAGAAAAGAGAGGAGGTATTTGGATCTTTAGAACTAACTGGCTTGGGGAAAAATCATGAACTTGTATGGATGATATTCACCTAGAAACAATGTTTATATATAGACCATAAATGCTTAACAAGGAAACTAGCTTAACCATTGCATCAAAATATTACCTTATATATAGATACTCTAAAATAAACATGATTTACACCATTAATAGAAGAATATACTTCGGGTATATAAGACGTCTAAAATAACACACGTTATTTATACTCCAATTGCTTATATTATTTCATTTAAAGCACATACTATGCTGTGATTGTAATACTGATGGTTCTTATCCTGCAGACTATCCCCTAAACCCCCACCCTTTTCCACCCGTTGCCTCTCTTCTACCGTGGTAGTACAATGTCAAGTGGGTATAAGAACTGTCATTTTTACCATTAGGGCGCCATAAATGCTCTAAACGAATTAATGTAATCAAATGAAACTAGCAGCAACGATGTCATGTTAGACTTTATATATGCAAATACAAAGGCCCAAAGAGTAGCCGTATGTATGTGTTTAAGGACTTTAGCTTTTAAAATGATAAATATGATTTTAAATAGGAAAAATTACCTCAAATAATCTCACCTTTTCGCGTTCTTTTAAAAATAATTTCACTTTTCACTGTCACCGCAAATAATCCTACATTTCTGCATGTGTGTGAGTTTTGGGTCGCCGTAAAAAACTAACGGCCACTTAACGGAAGTTTTAGAAAATGCCTGTTTTTTGCAAATAAATGAAAGGTTAGATTATTTTAGGCAAATTTACTTTTTACTTTTTTTAATTTTAAAATTGATATTTTTGAAAATATAACAGTACACTCTTGTTAGACTAACGATTAACAAATTTTGTTTTCTATTTTGGGAAAATATAATATGGAATTATCAAAAATAATTCAGAGTATGGATCAAGAAAGAAATTGCAATACCAAAAAATTGTAGTGATTTATAATATTTATTAGTGTCATTTCGGAGAAAAAAAATATTGTGTCATTTTCACAACTTTTGAATTACTATTTTGGGGAAAATTTTGTATTGAATTATAAAAAAATCACAAGTTGGGTAGTTCCATTTTAGAAAATATAATATATGAAATATAAGATTATCAATATATATTTTGGAGTGTTCATGAAAAAATTGCAATTCATCAAAAAATGTAGTGAGTTATTGAGTTATAAAAATAAAAATTTCATTTCATAGAAAAAATTATTGTGTTATTTTCACAACTATAGTACTGTTGTTTTACAAAAAATATTTATATAGAACTATTGAAAAATATTCATAAGTTTTGTAGTGTCATTTTTTTAAGAAATAATAATATAGTATCAAAAACCAATTTGAAGTGCATCTTATATAAAAATGTAGTTTATGAAGTAAATAAATAAGTTCTATTGTGTAGGATAATTTATTTTCTATTTATTACCAGATTATCGATTATTGACAAAAACTATTAGTTTCACTCTAAAAACACTTAAATTTGATACGGAGTATTATTTTTCCAAAAAAAAATAAAAATACATTTAAATTTAAAGTTAGGTATTAAAAAACGAAAAAGGGAGAATTTACTTAAAATAATCTCACTTTTCATTTATTTGCGAAAAAAATTCTGTTATGTGACTGTTAGTTTTTTAACGGCGACCCAAAACTCGCACACATGCAGAAAGGTGGAATTATTTTCGGTGACAGTAAAAAGTGAGATTATTTTTGAAAGAGTAAGAAAAGGTGTGATTATTTGAGCTAATTTTTCCTTTTAAATAATGTATAATATAATTAATCTTTTCCAAAAAAGAGCCAAACATTAGAAAAACAAAATGACTTCAATTCTAGATTTCTATATCATGATCCTACATAGAAAATTAACTATTTCGTGACAATGAAAGTAACTCTTTCTGTAGTAGTCATTTTTCAAAAGATAGTTTTCTTGTTCCAAAACGGACCGTAAATGCATAATATAATTAGCATTAAATTAATGAAAACTATCCAAAAAAAATCGAAATGTTATTAGAGCTATTATAGAAAGCCAACTAGTGTTTACCCCGTGTTTCGCACGAACTCGTATATATTCTAAACTTTTGAGATTTTATAAGTATAATTTTAGTTGTTTTAGTTTTCTAATAGTGACGAAACATGTTTTAGACTGATGAAATATATATTGATATGATAATTTAAAAACAAAAAAATTATACAAAATTAATGGTCATTGAATTACGTACTAATAGAAATTGTTTGAATTAATAAAATATTATAGTAAAGAGTGGATTAGTTACATGCATAATGATACATCATTAGAGAATGTATATGTGTCATAATAATGTCACTTGTCAGTTGTCACCCTTTAATTAAATCAACTTTATTTTATTCACTTTGTTGAAAAATATATGTAACAATAAAATAAATAATGTAGTAAAATAAAATTTTTGAAACAAAGTATTTAATTAATAAATATGCACATGTGAATAAATTTATACAATCATTTTTTGAGAATTACTAGTAATAAACTAAAATAAGTTGTGGATAGTATAAATATAATTTTGTGTGTGTGTGTGTGTTTATATTCAAAATACGGAGTATATTTTATAATGGTGAAATATATATTTTTAGAATTATTAAAAAATGAAAAATTTATACAATTGTATTAAAAGATATTTAAAATGGGTGCAATACAAATATATCCACTTCATAAATGAGTGCACATGTGGATGCACATGTGGCATGCCACATGTCAACATTACAACAACTAAACTTTATTTTACATATATACGGAGTATAGGATATGAAAATTTGATGATGATATGGAACACTACCTACTAGCACATATTTTCCATTTTGAAGTGGAAGAAATTAATTATGTAGCCAATTTGAGAATAGTGTTTTCGATTAGCGTTAGCGTTTGAATAAAATTTTAACGATGCAGGATAACTTTGAAAACGTTAATGCTAAAGACTACTCGTAGATAGTCTCTTCAAAATGCTAACACTAATCTATAATGCTTTTTCCAAACATACCTATGATCTCTCCCTTGAATTAATTTTTTGGCTAATACTTATTCGAATTGAAATGGTAATTTACATACTCCGTATAATATAATATGATGATGATGATGATATAATATAATACTCCGTATAATATAATATAATATAATATAATATAATATAATATAATATAATATAATATAATATAATATAATATAATATAATATAATATAATATAATATAATATAATATAATATAATATAATATAATATAATATAATATAATATAATATAATATAATATAATATAATATAATATAATATAAGATAATATAATATAATATAATATAATATAATATATTATAATATAATATAATATAATATAATATAANCTCTCCCTTGAATTAATTTTTTGGCTAATACTTATTCGAATTGAAATGGTAATTTACATACTCCGTATAATATAATATGATGATGATGATGATATAATATAATACTCCGTATAATATAATATAATATAATATAATATAATATAATATAATATAATATAATATAATATAATATAATATAATATAATATAATATAATATAATATAATATAATATAATATAATATAATATAATATAATATAATATAATATAATATAATATAATATAATATAATATAATATAATATAATATAATATAATAATATTATTATTATTAATTGACGGGTATATCCTTATACCCGGCCCGAATTTCCGAAAAGGACAGGTCAAAAAGTTGACCGGTCACTTTCCTCAGTTACGAAAATGAGATAAACTCTTCGATTGAGACGGGTCAAAAGTTGACCGGTCACTTTCCTTAAAAAAGTGACCGATCACATTTTGGGCGATAACCAAAATGTCACTTAATGTTACGAAGAACATTCTAGAAGACCAAGGAGACGGGTTGAGCTAAAGAAATGACTAGTCGACCTTCGAGGAAAGGTGATTGGTCATATTCTTATACTTAGCTAATGTTCGATCACCCTCCCAAGCATGGCAATCAGCATCAGAGGCCAGGGGACCACCTCGCCGCTCATCCATCACGAGATATATTGTAACACCCTAATCTGTCCAGGTCTGCAGCCCCTTTCAGATTAAAGTATTAACTTGGTAATCGTAAAAATTTAAAACATTTCAAACACTTTTATTTATCACAATAATATTTTTCATAATATAAACAGTACGGAGTTTTCAATATTGCGGAAGCTTAATAATCATAATCACAAACATAATTTATTTATGTTCTTTAATTCAAAACCATCACATCCATTCCGACAATCTCGCCTCCGTCTGCCTCCAGGATCACGTCACTTCATTAACCTGCGTGTAGCAAATAAAACATACTACACGCTCAGCGTTGAAGCTGAGTAAACATATCTAATGCATCGAACATCCATATAAACTGAATCTAAATTCATAATCAAATCATTTGATATCATGCACATAATGTTCAGTTCAGATAATCAATAATTATTAAAAATTATTCATCATGCATTATTCAACATTTATATTCACATTCAATGTTCATCAGTCATTCATAATAATTGCAATATTCAATTCAATATTCATCATTCAATATTTACTCATATTCAATATTCAATATTCAA